GATTTGGACACAAACTGAAATGTTGTCTCTTATTTCATTTTACTGGACTGACAGGACTCAGTATGGACTCACCTTTTGGACCAGAGCTCGCTGCTTCTCCACAGAGGATTGGAGTGAGTCACTAAGCTCTCTGACAACTGATAAACCCCTCAGAGTCCGAACAGCCAGGACGCTCTCCATGTCCTGCTGATGCTCCTCCTAAACCAACAAAATCCTCCGTTATTAAAAACACTCACAAGTTGCAACTGGATTTATGAGCTGAAAACCTCCAAACCAGATATTTTAACATTTAAAGCAGTCCTTCAACACCTTACCAGCAGCTGCAGCAGAATCTCTTTGTTCTTTGGACACAAAGCTTTGTGCTGCTGCACCTTCTCCTGACAGCGAGCCACACCCTCAGTCACCAGCGACCTGACTCCGCCCACAAACGACTCCATGTTGGTCAGAGAGTCTTTCAGCGCCGCCTCGTTCAAAACAAGCAAACCATCTTTTCAAGAAGGTACAGAGAGAGCAACAGTTAGGACAAAATGACAGCATCGTTATGAAGTTTCTGAGTAAACATGAAGCCAAACATTTGATCTGGAAGATTCTGTTAAAAACAACAAAAYCCTGCAATGTTCTGTGCAACAGTTCTACACATAATCTGTGGTGTTTTGTTCGTACCGACGGCCTGCGAGTATCCACTCAGGATGTTGTTGTGTTTGACTCCACATTGTTCAACGCTGYGTTGCATGTTGCTGAAAGCTCCGTCCATCCGCTGAGCAAAGCCCTGCTGCATCTGCATGTTGTGCTGCTCCACCTGTCATTGTCAACATAGGGCTGTTAGTCCTGACTAGGCATGGGCCAGATACTGGTTTCAAGGTATACAGTGATATGAAAAAGTCACGGTTTGAAAACCACTAAGATTTTTTGTCATACCGTCCCTACAGTATAAGTGTTTTTTGTTTTTCCTCTGGTCTGTGCAGCTACAGACTTTCCCCTTTTCCCCTGTCTAAAATAATAAATCTGGCTAAATGAAAATACTTTGGATGCTGTAAGAAGACAGACGGAGTGTCTTGTGAACTGTGAAGGCAACACATCTTTAAGTAAAATCCTAAAGTGCAGACTGAAATGACCTTGATGATCCAACATGCTTACTTAAACTTTATGAAGAACGTAAATGTCTGCTGGGGCAACAATAATTACTTACAAGAACTGGTACTGGTTCAGACACAAGGAGTTGAAAACCACTGTTGTGGAAACACAACACAAAGCACTGACACTAGAGGCCAGGAGACAGACTATAAAAGGAGAACTAATGAGGAGCAAACAAGAAACACCTGGAGGAGAGACACGAGGAGCAGGTGAGTGTGGGTGGGGCGGAGCAGACGGTGGAGCAGAGGCAGGCTGGAGGAACTTCTGCCTGGTCTGTTGACAGGTTGGCCCCACAACTACAGGTGTCCTGTTGGCTGCCAGGATTAAACCATCAAACTTTTGTTCATTTAATATGTATAGTTTTATACACAGAATTTTTTCTTTTGGATTTGTCAGTTTCAAACTTTGATGACATGGAGTCATTTATTAATGTGAAGAGAAAGTGTTTCATTCTTCTTCTTTTACTTTCAGGCAATGTTCAGCCTAACCCAGGTCCTTGTTTAAATAATATTGGTACCCCTGAGAACTTTAAAGCGAAATCAGGCCTTGGCATTTTACATTTTAATGTCAGAAGCCTGCTTCCTAAAATTGACATAGTTAAAATTTGGGTACAAACAACGGAACCTGATATCCTTGTGTTGTCTGAAATTAGGCTAAATAAATCTGTTTCTGATCAGGATATTGCTATAAATAACTACAATGTTTTCCATTGTGATCGTCCTAAGAAAGGTGGAGGTGTAGCTATTTATATAAAAAATATGTTCCATGCAACACTTCTCTCTATCACCAGTTTGCACCTCTGCGTAAATATAGGATAAAGGGGCGAAGTAATCCCTGCTTCTCTGCTGACATTAGTAATCTCCTCAGACAAAGAGATCAAGCATGGGCCAAGGGACGAAAAACAAAATTAGATGCTGATTGGATTAATTTTCGTAAGCTACGTAATAAATGTACTTCTTTAATTAAGAAGTCCAAATCTGAATTTTACTTTTCAGAAATCACTAAAAATCTAAATGATCCTAAGAAGTTTTGAAATAATCTGAAATTTGTTTCTGGGGGTGTGTCTCTTTGTGAAATGCCCAATTCTTTGGTCAAAGACTCTATAAAACTGGTTGATAAATGTGATATGTTAAATTATTTTAATGAGCATTTTACTGCGGTAGGGAACTTATTTAAATCTCTTAATAGTGATTTAAAAGTGGAAAAAATATTTCCATATAATGAATCTGTTAGCTGCTATCCAGCTGTTAGTTCTTTTCATTCCTTTCATTTTACACATGTGTGTGACTCAGAGGTACATTATTTGATGCATTACAAAAATTGGATGTCAAAAAATCGGTTGGTCCGGATGGTTTGGAACCCTTTTTCTTAAAACTGGCTGCTGATTTTATAGCTGAGCCTTAAACTTGTATTTTTAATCTTAGCCTTACTACAAACAAAGTTCCAAAAGTTTGAAAATTTGCATTTGTCCTGCCACTACTAAAAGGAGGTGACCCCTCAATTATGGATAATTACAGACCAATTTCCAAATTATGTATTTTGGCAAAAGTATTTGAAAAGCTGGTCTGTGTCCAGCTGAAAGCATTTTTAGAATCAAATAGTATCTTAAATCTCTATCAGTCAGGTTTTAAGAAGCAGCATAGCACTAAGGTTTTAAATGACATGTTTGAAGCACTGGATTCTAAAAAGTTTTGCCTTGCTCTTTTTATTGATCTATCTAAGGCATTTGATACTGTGGATCACAATATCTTGTTAAGCATGGGTGTAACCGCCATAGGCACCGGGTGGGACATGTCCCCCCAACTTTCAATATCTGTGCCCNAAGAAACTCCTGTTTGGATGAAATACAGAAGATGTTTGTAGCATGAAGGACCTCTGCCAGGTCATAGTTCTCTGGAACTGAACTCTGTTCTGAAAACGTTTTCTTAGACAAAGTCTGGCTGCTCATTAATCTGTCCTCGTCATGTGGAAAAGTTCAACTTTATTGCCATTTGTAGTCAGAAATAAAAAACTACATTGGGAAAACAATGGCAAGACCTCACATCCACATCATGCACACATAAACGATTTAAAATATTATAAAAAAATTTAAAGAAACTGAGTTTGGTTGTCGACGTGCTCCCTGACTCCCAGTTGCCACTGGAGGTCACGCTCCACCAGACCTGCAGGAACACGAGGGTCAGCGTGGCCCTGCGTGCTGCTCGTTAAAGACCAGGAGAATAAAGCAGTTTGTACCTGAGACAGAGCTGTGGAGGTCRGAGCAGTAACCGTTCAGCTCACTCAAGGCCTGCTGGCTCTCATCGGCTGTCAGACGCAGAGAGGAGGTGAGAGAGGAGGAGGTGGAGGCCAGGAGGTCTGCCTGGGCTGAAACCTGATTCTCTACTGAGCTGCAACCACTGCAGACAGATCAATCAGATACGGCTCATCAGCTGCTGATGTTTGCAGACAAAGAAAAAAGGAAACAAAGAAGCTTCAAGCCTCACCTGCTGATGCCCTGTTTGAGGCTCAGAGCGGGACTCTTCAGATCTTTTGTGGAAGAGTGCAGATCAGTGTAGTCCTGCAGAGTCTGCAGAGTCTGCAGAGTGAGCTGGTCCTGAAGGCACTGGATGGTCTGCTTCATACCCTGACAACAACAAACTACTGTTGGTTTTCTTCTATCTGGTGTTACAGAGATCTAGACTAACTTTTTGCACTGGTTGCACCGGTGCTCCTAACATTTTTTCTTAGGCGCACCAGCACAAAAGTTAGGTGCACCCAAATTTTCAACCACGTCGCACTTAACATCAGAATTTTACAGGTTACTATGACCCCCGCACACGAAGCGTAAGCCATATTGTTTTCGTACTGTTTGCCGTATTTATTTTTGGTCAACCGTAGCACAAAAACAGCCGCACCAATCAACATGAAATTTGGCAGAACTGTAGATGAGTCTGACCTACACTGCACCAGCCAACGGTTTTACAATAGACCCCATATTTGAGGAGGGGGCTCCTTTCAAAGAGGGGGTGTCAGGACATGCAAAAATGCTTATAACTCAGAAACTGTTCAACACAGAAGTTTCAGATTTCTTTGGTTGTTTAGCTCTGATGAAGCTCTATCCATCAGGCCCACCAATCACCAAACTATTTTTGTTTCGAACACCCAGATCCTGTGTCCTGGCTGTCCGGTGGACAAACAAGAAAAAAAGACCTTGATTAAAGTTCTCTGCCGCGGGTGTTCGTCATCATAAAAATGAAGGAGAAAAATCTTTGGTAAAAGCGAACAGAACACTAAACTGTGACTTTTAATAAGGTCATGTACAGTATACTCCTATTTAAATGAAAATGTTTGACCTACTGTATGAGCAGAAAGAAGCTTATCAATGTTGAACTCTATTTCAAAAAAGAGAATGAGGAAATTTAATTCAAGCTAGGACTGCATCTGTTATTTTAATAATCGATTAATCTGTTGATTATTTTTTCCATTAATCGGCCAAATCAGTAAAACGCTTAATTACATGAATATGAGTAG